ATTAATTCCTGAGTGGGTTCTATATAGGTACCCACTGCCTGTCCAAAATTTCCGATCGCAACAGTCATCAAATCCATCTTCTCATGTAACTGTTCCAATAAAGCACTTGTCTTGCAAAAGGCAAGCACCAGAGCCTCTGAGCACATTCTTGTTCAAGGTCGAAGTCTGGTCCCATGATCTTAATCTATTACAGCTGCAAAGCTCCCCAGATTGACTTTAATAACAGTTTCACAAGCTCCCTCTAGGGTAAACAGTTTCTATTTGTATCCATTTTTTTTTTTTAAAAGCAGATCTAGCAACAAAGCTTTCCTTTTTCAGATATTTTGTCAATATTTTGTTCCTTTTAAATGCGAAGGGGAACAATGGAATCAATATGTTTCTCTTCTCTTAACTATCTGTCAAAAACGTTTGTCCATAGTCAATGAACTTCCCCAAAACGTCTGTCCTGACACCCCGCTCCCAGGTTCAAGACAGTGGAAAATTGCCTTTCTTTACTCTCTCTTCTGCAGGTTTAAACAGTCTAAAAAAGGCTCCCCCCTCTTCTCCTGCTTCCAAGGGGGGTTCAGTAATTTTAAATGATGAAAATTTGATCCTTTACAGATGACTTTCTAAACTCTAGCTTGCCATGTCTTTGCTTCAATCTATCTACAAAAGTGGAAGGCGGACTTCCTGTTTAGACCTTCCCGCTTCAGTGCCAAATTAAAAAGTTTCTTAATCCAATTTTCCGTTCTACTCACGGGCAGTTGTTTAAAATCCAATTGTCCACAGGAAAAAGTCAGCGCTCTCCGGCAACAGCAATGCGGCTTCACTCCGTGAAAGAAGCAGTCGATTCAAAGCACCGCGCCACTCACCCCACGTCGCTCCGGATCCCCAAAATCAGGTTTCCCTGCGAGTGGGGGGGCACAAAGGTGCCAGCCGAATCCCACGTCCACAGGCTTCTCCCGCCTATGGTTTTTGATGGGTCTCCGCCTCGCTGTGGCGGTTCAGACCCTGTTTTCCACGGAGCAGATTCCTCCCGATCAGAGGAAATCCGCCATTGCCAGAGGCGCCAACCCGGAAGTCCACAACTTATGATCTCCTCCTCTCTCTTTCTCTTTCCATTCTGCCAACCTCTCTTGCCAGCACATCCATGAAAGAAGACTCAGGACACCTTATTGTGGTGGTGGGAGCTCATATTTATTCAAATATTTAGCCAAACTAAAATGTAATTCCCTAATACAGGAGGAATCATATACATGTTTGCAGGCATCACCTATGGCCCTGCAGCAAAGGATTGGAAGCAATATTTCCTCCTTGCTATGAGAACCTGGTGTATGTGAACCTGGCAAGTGTTTTATGGTCCTCAGGGTCAGAGGTCACTCTGTTGCGCCTGACAGGCCTAACCCCCCCCCAAGGAACCCAACACTAAGGCAGTGTAGGACAACCAAAAAAGTGCCCTCAACCCAATAATTCATCGGGTATTTATCCCATCAAATCTTAACTTCATTTCCTGCCGGAATTGAAAGCCAACTCAGGCAATCAGCAATGCCAAGAGCAGCATGGAGTAGGCAAAAAAGAGGAGTCCTGAGGCAAATCAAGGGCTCCCCTGAAAATTCCTACTTAGGCCCCAAACAGGCCACTAGCAAAGCCCAGGGAGAGAGAGAAGGAGGAAGGGCATTGCAAAAAGAGAAGAGAGGAGCGTTTGGGGTGGAGTCTGGCTTCCTCTTCACCCTGATTGCCCTGATAACTTACCTGGCCATAGGCAGCAACTCTATCAGACCCTCCAAGTATCCCTATTTTCCAGGGATGTCCCTGATTTAGAGATGTCATCCCGGTTTCTGATTAGAACCCAGAATGTCCCACTTTTCCTTAGGATGTCCCCACACACAGACACTTCCCCTTACTTTTTAGGAGGAAAAAAGTGAGTGTTATGGTGCAAAAAATACGGTAGTTATCTGGCCCCTGAGCTGTCTGAAGGCAATCCTATATGAGGATTTTTTAAAAAAAGTTTAATATTTTATTATGTTTTGATATATGTTGGAAGCTTCCCAGAGTGGCTGGGGCAACCCAGTAAGATGTGTGGGGGTATAAATAGTAAAGTTATTGTTATGGAATGGGACGTCCCTATTTTCATCGGAGAAATGTTGGAGGGTATGTTCTATAGGGCTGAATTATCTTCAGCCTCCCCCCATGTCTGTTGGGATGGAGCTGAGCCCCCCCCCATCTTGAGGAGGCAGAGGAAGCTGAGCCCTTCCTTGCCCACCCACCTGCTCCCTCCTCCCTTTTGTCCGCTGTCTTCTACCACCTTGGAAGATGTTGTGTGGCCTGGCCTAGCCTGGCTGGAGGTCGCCCTGCCTGTGCAGTTTCAGGAGATTCCATACAGACACTTGGGAGGTCTGCGACAGTCACGACGTGTGTGATGTCACACATCACATGTGTGATGTCACACACATGCGACAGCCCCCCTCAATGTTGGGTGCCTCTGGCCCCTCCTTAACTCTTCCCCAGGGCAAAACCATTCTGAGTCTTGTTCCCAAAGGAGCTGGGGTGTGAGAAATTCACCCCCACCTGAGTGTGGGAACAGCATTGCCAGAATCCATTTGTTTTGTTATCTCTCACCACTTCTTCTTCTTCTTCTTCTTCTTCTTCTTCTTCTTCTTCTTCTTCTTCTTCTTCCTCTTCATCTTCTTCTTCTTCTTCTTCTTCGTCTCCTCCTCCTCCTCCAATTAAAGATGACTCCCAGTGTAGCTTCTCAGGCCTAAAGTAAACTACCTGGCAACTTGGCAATGCTGAAGATGGAATATTGTGTGACATGTCGAAGGGCTTTGTGCAGAATGCTTGCACAAAGCCACGTCTGCGTTTCAGAGCCGCGTGTCAAAAAGTCATAACCTCGTTCGCAGTGTTCAGAATTGTAATATCATAGCAAGTTTAAGAACAATGCGTTTAAAAAATAAAAAACCCTGAACATCTGTCAAGAGTACAGTAGACAGCCTCCCTGCCTTCCCACGCTTACAAAAAGAAATCCAAGTCAATTGTTTTAATTTGCTGTAAGCTTTGTTGGAGAATGTGTGACCCAGAAGCAGGCTCAACTATTTAAAATGAATGAATGAATACCAATCTAATGAGAGCTGGGTTCTGGTCTTTTCCTCAAAAAGACCATTGTCGGGTTGTAGAAGGTACAGAAAAGGTTGCCATGGTTGGTTTAGACAACAGGCGAGTTAAGAGGTTGACCATAGTGAGGATAGGCGTTAAGAGGTGATGTGATAGAATTTTACAAAATTATCCATGGCATGGTGAAACCAGATTAAAAAGTGTTTCTCCCTTCTCATTGATAACTAGAACTCATAGGGAGCCCACAAATCTGAATCTTGGCCTCCTGCTCCATCTAGCTAAAAAATTATTACTTATTTACTTTACATTTCTATCACACCTTTTCTCCCCAAGCAGCTCAAGGCGTGTGCACATCTCCCTCTTTCCTCATTTAATCCCTACGACAGACCTGTGAGGTGGGTTAGGCTGAGAGGCTGTGACTGCCCCCCCCAGTCAAGTCACACACATTAGGCTTTAGTGGGGAGATTTGAACCCTGGTCTTCTACACTGGTTGTGTCCACACTAACTGGCAGAGGCTTTGAGACCAGGAATCTTGTTTCCCAGCCTGACCTGGGGATGTCAGGACTTGAACCCGGAACCTCCTGAATGCCGTTCCAGCGTTCTTCCTCTGAGCTATGTCACTTCCCCTGGTGCTATACAAAAGCGTGCAGGGGGTTGGGGAAGGAAACACAGCCCCCAATGAAACGATGCCATGAGATCGACTTAGACCCATTCTCTCATCCTGAGAGCTTTTGCAAGATCGCGGGGGAAGGGAGGGTCCCCGCCTGCCCAGCAGCACTCCGCCAGGTTTATTCAGCCTCGCCGCTATTTTCGCAACCATTACCAGGCAGCACTCTCAGCCCGGAGAGCTAATGGTGTAATCGCCACCACGCCGTGCGGCTGTGTGGGAGCCAAGCGCCATCAATCCCATTCAGGCAATGCGAGCCTTTGATTAAAGGTCGCGGGGTTAACTCTCTCTCATTCACTGGGCCACGGTTGGGGAGGCGAGAGATGAGGGGGGAAGGAAGGGTGTGGGTCTGGATTGCCTTCGCTCGAGCACATAGCACTTCTATTAAGCGCCATTGCCCCCTTCACCCCCATAGAGCTCCGCCAGCCACGGCGATGCCTGGGAGCAAACGAGCTCGGAAAGGCGAAGTCAAGCAGGTTAACGGCAAAATTCAATGAGGCAAGATTTCCTCCGCTCGGTCCTTCACGGGGCCTCCTCTTCGCTGTGCCCTTTGGAGCGCTCCCTCCTCCTCCTCTCCTCTCTCTGGAAACGGGCTACAGGAGAATCCAGCAGCTTTGCAGCAGCCAAGAGGAGATGGATGGGACATCTCGCATGTCAGGCAGAAGGCTAGGCTAAAGCCCGGTCTGAAGTGGGCATTTTTACCACCTCAGAAAGACCTGAGAGTACACTTATTTTAGAAGTGTGGGAAGGAGGGCAGGGAGGCACTACATAGTACAGTGGTACCTCGGGTTACATACGCTTCAGGTTACAAACTCCGCTAACCCAAAAATAGTGCCTCGGGTTAAGAACTTTGCTTCAGGATGAGAACAGAAATCGTGCTCTGGCGGCGCGGTGGCAGCAGGAGGCCCCATTAGCTAAAGTGGTGCTTCAGGTTAAGAACAGTTTCAGATTAAGAACAGACCTCCGGAACAAATTAAGTACTTAACCCGAGGTACCACAGTATAGCCTTTTTTTATTAGATAATTGAATACGTTAAGGCAGGGTTGTGGAAACTATTGGGTTTCGTAATCCAACAGCATCTGAAGGTCCACAGCTTCCTTGTTCTTGTGTTAGAGATCTGTGCATTCCTCATGTTAGTTGTTTAGGTACCTTGGAACATATGTGCAATTTCAGTATATATTTTTCTCCACTTGAGTCGCTGCTTGTCTTGCTGCTCTATTGATTTGTATTAGGAATCCACTGTGCCTATCCTCTGGGCCCTTTATTAAAAAGAGCTCAACAACTGTGTGCATCCCCTCAAAAAAAGCTCAACAACTTTGGACCCCCCCAAAAAGTTCAACAACTGTGGGCATCCCTCCAAAAAAGCTCTCAACAACTTTGGGAACTCAAAATTTGGCAGGAAGTCCTGGGGGGGGGGTGACAAAAAAAAATAATCCGCACCGGGTACCACCTGACCTTGCTATGCCACTGTTGCTTGGTTATCTATCTGTGGCAGATGCAAGGGGTCTACAGAGCCATCGCAACAGACGCACACGCCCTTCTTTCTACTCCGGCGTCAAGGGCTGAGTGGACAGCTGTGATGGCATAATGTGTGCACGCAGACAGGATGGGCTGGACCCACCAAGAGAGAGCAATTCCAAAGCCAGGCAGCCGAACCTTCACAGAGTCGATTTCACAGAGGTATCTTACAGAGAAACACACCACGTTCTACAAATCCAGGATGGAGCACCACAGGGGCTCCCTAATGGAGCATTGATATGATCTGCTTTCTTTGTTTCTCAGTTCTCCAGCTGTTCTGGAATGAACTGCTAACACAGCCTTCGGAGACACTGTTCCCCACGTGTTGCTCGGCAAAGGCTACTTGGCCGTGTGCCTTCTTGGAAGTGCTATCCTTCCACGGAGCTCCATCTACAGTAGGCAGCCTGCTGGGTCACAGACAGGTGTGGCATGTGCACCGCTGAGAGCTAAGAGGTCCCCTACTTAGCTCTTCATCACAGTAAAATAGCCAAGAGGTGTGGGGTCTTCCACTGGGCTGTGGGCCACTAGTGACACCCAGTGGCATTAGATAGGCTGCATGAGGAAGGGCCCTGCACTCTTTGATCTGGGAGATGAGATTTTCAGGCAAGAGAAATATTCTCCCTGTGTGGAAGAGCAGCATAGGATGAGGTGAAAAAGGCTTTCCATAGCAGCTAGCTAGGCAGGCAGGCAGGCAGGCAGATGGAAACCACAGGACGGGGAGAGGGGTCTTGTGCTCGGGTCCTGTTAAAGGTTTTCCAGAAGAGGCATCTGGTTGGCCACTGTGAATGCTGGACTAGATGGGCCACTGTCCTGATCCAGGAGGCTCTTATGTGAACATCTAGGCATGCAGGTGGAAGAATGGTTAGCTGGTTGGTTGGTTGGTTGGTTGGTTGGTTGGTTGGTTGGTTGGATGGATGGACAAACAGACAGGCAACTGCTTTATGCTGCAATGTTTAAAAGCCCTGTAGAATCTGCCACAAACAACATCTGTCCAAGGATCCTGGCCCCAACAGTGCCCAGCCAGATCCCTTTGGAAACCCCAGAAGCAGGCCCAGAAACAGATATTTAAGGGTACAACATCATGACATTCCATGTTAGCTCTCCTGCCTGACGTCCACTGGTAGATCTGTCCTCCGTGAATTTTAAATCCATTTATGCCAGTGGCCATCGTGCCAATGAACTGCGTTCATTAATAATTATGCACTGAGTGACAAAGTCCTTCTTTTTGGCTGCCCTGAATCTACTGTCCATCAGTTTCATTAGGGGATCCCAATTGCTAATGCATTAGTGAGGGTGAAATATATGTCTCTGTGTTCTATGGTCCATGCATAACTTTATTCAATTCTACATCTCCCCACTTAGACATATTTTCTAAGCATCAAAAGCCACAGGCACTTTAGTTATTCCATGTAAAGTGAGAGGAACATTGGTTCATCAAGCCCAGAGGTGGGGAAGCTGTGGCTCTTCCTTGTAGGTTTTCAAGCAAAGGTTTAAACGCCATCTGTCATGGATGCTTTAGCTGAGATTCCTGCATTGCAGGGGGTTGGACTAGATGACTCTTAAGGTCCCTTCAAACACTACAGTTCTAAGATTCTATGATTCTATGTTGTTGTTGGATTCCCAAAAGACATCAACTCTGACCACTTGTGCATTAAAGGTGGCATGATAGGCCTGTATAAAGGCATGCAAAGCATGGAGAGAGTGGAAAGAGGAAAGTTTTCCCCCCTCTCTCATAACACTGGAACTTGTGGACATCCAATGAAGCTGAATGTTGGAAGATTCAGGACATAGGGAAGACAATCCTTCTTCAAGCAGGTAAAAGGTAAAGGTAAATAATCCCTGGACAGTTAAGTCCTGACAAAGGCGACTATGGGGTTGTGGCGCGCATCTCGCTTTCAGGCCAAGGGAGCTGGCGTTTGTCCACAGACAGCTTTCTGGGTCATGTGGCCAGCATGACTAGACTGCTTCTGGCGCAATGGGATACTATGACAGAAACCGGAGCGCATGGAAACACCATTTACCTTCCCACCACCGTGGTACCTATTTATCTACTCACGCTGGCCTGCTTTCAAACTGTTAGGTTGGCAGGAGCTGGGGCAGAGCAACGGGAACTCACTCTGTCACGGGGATTCGAATCGCCAACCTTCTGATCGGCAAGCCCAAGAGGGTCAGTGGTTTAGACCACAGCGCCACCTGTGTCCTTCTTCAAGCAGCACATAGTTAAGCTATGGAGCTCACTCCCAAAGGAGGCAGTGATGGTCACCACCTTGGATGGCTTTAAAAGAGGATTCAACCAATTCATGGAGGAGATGGCTACCAATGACTACCAGCCACAATGCCAATGTTCTACCTCCCCAGTTGGAGGCAGCATGCTTCTGAATACCAGTTACGGGAAATTACAAGTGGGGAGAGTTACTGTCGCACTCAAATCCTGCTTGTGGGCTTCCCACTGAAGCATCTCATTGAGCACTATGAAAACAAGGTGGTGGACTCTCCTTCATTGGAAGATTTTGAGCACAGGTTGCAGAGCCCTCTCTCTCAGAGATTCCTTAGCTGTGATTATTGCACAGATTGGACCAGAGGTCCCTTGGCATCACTTCCAAGTCCACAATTCCGTGATTCCATGATGCTGGTCTAGATAGGCCTTTATTCTGATCCACCAAGGCACTTCTTACGTTCTTATATTCTGATCTGGGCCCAGGAAACCTAATCTACACCTAGGGAGCTGTGGGCCCCTGGGGTGGGTGGGGAATATGACCTTCTAATTTGTTTCCATTTCAAATGCCTCGTGTGCACTTAATGACATACAAACAGAGGCAGGCGAAGCAAGCAGCCTGGCTGTTAGCATCGACACTTTTATCATTAATATTATGGCCAGGGACAGCTTATCAATTTCTGCTCAATGCCACAAAGTAGAGTGTCAATTCCTCTGGCCTGAGGGCCACAGAGCACTTCGGCACCTTTCCCCTTGCATTAAATGTTGATGGACAAGAGAAGCTGTTGCCTATACTATCCATCTCCTGCTGTTGATATTAAAAGCAGGGGGAGTTTTTCTGCTACTCCTGGTGTGGGGGTTATTATCATACCCTTCAGCATTTCTCCAATGAAGATAGGGACACCCTATTCCATACCCTCTATTTTCTGATGAAAATAGGGAAGTGCTAAGGAAAAATGGGACATATCGGTATCAAATAAAAAACCAGGACACCTTCTGTAAATCTGGGACTAACACAGGAAAATAAGTACACTTAGAGGGTCTATATCAGGCATAGGCAAAGTCAGCCCTCCAGATGTTTTGAGACTACAATTCCCATCACTCCCGACCACTGGCCCTGTTAGCTAGGGATGATGGGAGTTGGCCTGAGTTGGCCTATGCCTGGTCTATATTATCCCATAAGGGCAAAGGACCATTGCACTTCCTAGGAGTGAAGAGGTCTCTTAGGACACCTAAATGGTCAACTCACCAAGGCTTAGTCCTGGTCTGTAAGAACTTTACATAAGAGCATAAGAAGTAGCCTGCTGGGTCAGGCCAAAGGCCCACCTAGTCCAGCATCCTGTCCTCACAGTGGCCAACAGATGCCTATGCGAAACCCACAAGCAGGATGCGAGCACAAGAGCATTCTCCCCTCCTGTGGTCTCCAGCAGCTGGTACTCAGAAGCATTACAGCCTCCAGGCCTGAAAGCAGAGCAGAGCCATTGTGGTTAGTAGCCTTTTGTAGCCTTCTTCTCCCTGAAACCACCACCACCATCATCATCCCCCTCCTTTTCTTTCTCTTTCTCTCTCTGTCAAGAGCCACATTCTAGGGGCAATGTGCTGGATGCTATATGCTACTTTTGGAGGATGACCAGAGCCGGTGGTAGTAGGATCAGAGCCATAAATGGGTGTGGTCACACTTTTCCGACCTCTTTCTGCCACCTGCTTTCCCCCTCTCCTCTTCTCTCTTTGCAAACCCCTCCTCTCCTTCTCTTTTTCTGACTCCTTCTTCTAGTCACCCCAGGGGTTTGAACCAGCAGCTTATTGAGGGCTCCCCCCTCCTTCTTCCATCCCTCCATCCATTTCACCAATGTCATGTCTTCATCACCACAATGTCTTTTCTCCTCCTGACCTCCTCCTCTCCCTCTGGACTTTCCCTGTCCTTATGACATCACACTGAGGGTCACCCAGATGCCCCTTGAGCTGCAGGTCTCCCACCCCTGAGATAAACTCTGACACCCCAGAATCAAGAAGACCAGGAATCTGTGCGTTTCCCCCTATTTAATTACCGGGGAGAAATCCAGATTCTGCACCAGATTTCACATAGAATTAATTCTGCACATGCTGGACAGCGGAAGACAAACTGCCTCAGTTTTAGTATCCTGTATTTATCTGTTGTCGTGCCAAAGCAAGGAAAGATAATAACAGCTCCTTCTCCCCCCCCGCCCCCCTGAATGGATGGCAGCAACAACGATGGTGGCGCATTAACAGAGAGAATCCTTGAGCCAATCTGATTAAGGTTTTCAAACAGGAGAAGCATTGCGTTTAAATGTGAGAATTTGCATTTCCAATCGCTGCCATAATGAGAGGCCACAGGCAGCCTGATATAACAATCTCTCTGGCTGAGAGTCCCGACTACAAAGCAGGGAGAACAGCAAAGAGCCTCTTCAGGCAGGAATAATTCTTAGCATGTGCCAGAGCCATTCTTTATTTCCTCTGCCCCGCTCCCCTCCTCCTCTCTCTCTCTTTCTTGCGCTACTCATCTCCGCAAAGCCATTTGAACACTTGTAAATTTGTTTTAGGATTAGATTAATAGGTTTCGTGATTTGTAAACCACCACCATGACATCATGAAGCCACGGAAGGCCTTCCCAACTCAATCGAGAGGTTTAGGAAGAAATTGCTTTCTTAATAAGCTTGGAACAGGCCATAATCGTAAGAACAGAAGAGCCTCTCGGGTAGATCAGGCCAAAGGCAGTCACAGCAGCCTTCTCTCACAGGGACCAAGCAGATGCTTCTTCTGGGAAGCCCACAAACAGGACCCAAGTGCAACAAAACTCTTCCTTTCCTGTGGCTTCCAGCAAATGCAGTTCAGAAGAGAGCCAGTGTGGTGTAGTGGTTAAGAGTGGTGGACTCATAATCTGGTGAACCGGGTTCACTTCCCTGCTCCTCCACATGCAGCTGCTGGGTGACCTTGGGCCAGTCACACTTCTCTGAAGTCTCTCAGCCCCACTCACCTCACAGAGTGTTTGTTGTGGGGGCAGAAGGGAAAGGAGAATGTTAGCCGCTTTGAGACTCCTTCGGGTAGTGATAAAGCGGGATATCAAATCCAAATTGCTGCTAGCAGAGCCTAGATGTTGTGGCTAGTAGCCATTGATAGCCTCCTCCTCCTCCGTGAATTAGTCCAATCCTCTTTTGAGGCTATCCAAGTTGGTTCCCAACACTGCCTCCTGCAGAAGTGAGTTCCATTGTTCAGTGATGCACTGCTTGAAGAAGGACTTCTGAAAGGATGCCAAGAAGACAGCAACCATTAGATCATAAGAAGAGTCTCTCAGCTGGATCAGGCCACAGGAGGCCCATCTAGTCCAGCATCCTGTTCTCACACACAATGTCCCAGTTCCCTTTGTGGAATATCTCCACCCAGGCTCTGGGAAGAGTGGGAGTGGCTCACCAGAGCTGGATGCTCCCATCACCTGGAGAAGGGATGAAGAGACAGGGTACAAAAGAGCAGAGAACCTTGTGGTGCCCTAAAGGCTGGCAGTGCAATCCTTTTTTTAAAAAAAAAATAATATTTATTACTTTTCCAAAAAATTTCAACACTAAAAGAAAAGAAAAACACATACAATACAATACATTAAACTAACAAAACAATGCAACAACAATAAAATAAATCAAATTTCATTATCCCATCTTTCATTCACTTATTTCCTCGACCTCCTCACACCTCCCTTTTTGTATTCCACTTCTGTTAATTATTTCAGCAATTCCTTTCCATCTACCTCTGTTTTCTATCCTATAATTATCTCAACTCATTCTAACCTTATTTTTTCCTTTAATACTCTATTAATCTATTTATGCTTAATTCCTTATAACATTTCTACTAAAGCCATGTAACTTCATTCCAACATTTTTCTAACATTCATTAATTTTACAATATTTCTGTAAATAATCTTTAAATTTTTTCCAATCTTCTTCCACCGACTCTTCTCCCTGGTCTCGGATTCTGCCAGTCATTTCCGCCAATTCCATATAGTCCATCAACTTCATCTGCCATTCTTCCCGGGTGGGTAAGTCTTGTGTCTTCCAATACTTCGCGATGAGTATTCTTGTTGCTGTTGTAGCATACATAAAAAAAGTTCTATCCTTCTTTGGCACCAATTGGCCGACCATGCCCAGGAGAAAGGCCTTTGGTTTCTTCAGAAAGGTACATTTAAATACCTGCCAAATGAAAAAGCTGGCAGTGCAATCCTAACCATCTCTGCTCAGAAGCAAATCCTACTGAATTAAGAAGACAAGAACATGTAAGGCCGTACACAGATTAGAGGTTTTTGAAATATTAAGCTTGTGGTCTCCTAAGAAAGTGCAAATTTAGGTGGGTCCCACCCATATAAACCACCCTCCAGATAAATAGCCACCCACCCTGCTCAGGAAGCTGTCTGAAGATTACCCCCCACTCCGCAAAAACTTTCATGGATTGTTAATGAATTTAAATGCCAGGGATTTTCTTTTTGATGCTTCCTTGTCTGTGTGCTTCACAATATGCTAATTAAGAGCAGTGGATCCTTCCAATCCCAAAGCAGGCCGGTTGCATTGAAAAGAACTGATGGGGAGACCCTATCTATGACGTGGGTTGCAGGCATTCTTGCCCGACTCTTATCAGGGTCTGATAAATGATACGCTGAATGGAGTTAAATAGACTTATTCTCAGGGTGGCTGGAGACTCATCACAGCGGCTTCATGAGAGAATTTAATTACCGATCTGACTTCCAGACACGAGTTAAATTGGTTAAGGATTCCTGTTTTTTACTTCTCCTTTTAAAAATCCACTTGGGGACTTCTCATTCTTCCAGTACTCACCCACCCAATTTGTATTTCTCTTGCGACTGCTTCTTGGAGCATAACTGGGGAGACCAGGTGTTTGGGCTCATTTAAATGGGGGGAATGGATGACATCCTGGCGAGCCTCCACAAATTTTGACACATCAGCAGAGTGTGATAAGTTTGTCAGGGGTCCAATTACCTTCCAGCTTTTTTTAATGGTGTCCCTGGATTGCAAAAAATAGAGGGGGAGAAACAATGTGAAACATTTGGAAGCATAGGAGCCAACTGCTAGGGGCCAAGGTCCCTTTGCCTCCATTAAAATATTTTGGGGGACTCCCAAAGTTGATGGGTACAGTATTGCTATTCAAATAGTGTGCCTGCACCATGTCTTGTGATCAGTTACATGGGGCAGGGCTTACCTGCCCCCCTCCCCAATACAGAGGTACTATTTCAGGGTTAGCGGAGTCTGTAACCTGAAGCGTATGTAACCTGAAGCATATGTAACCTGAAGCATATGTAACCCGAGGTACCACTGTATTTCATTCAAGTTAGCACCTGTCAAGGAGCTGTTAGGAGACAGCTCCACAGGGTGGGAAAGAATGTGAGGCACGAAATGCAACTAGCTTTTATTCACAGAAAGTAAAAACACAGCAGAATACCCTGGTTCACCTCATTCAGCTTGAGAAGGTCTGAAACTGACCACTAGACCTCTCTTTCCCCTCTGACCTCTCCTTCTGGATCCCTCCCAAGCAGAGGAAACTGTGATGAGGAGGTGGGCTCCTCCTCTGAGCACAGTGCAGGACTCTCCTCGAGCAAGATGTGAGAGGGGGAGGAGAGTCAGCAGGACTGAGTTTCTGGAGTCCTGGGACTCAGAAGACATCCTGACATTGCAATCCTCACTACCCCGATAGAGCAGAAACTGGCTTCAGAACTGGGCAATGGCCCTTTAAGAGCACTGAGAACTCCTCAGAGGGGGTGGGGCTAACAGCAGGTCCAGGCCAGTCTCTACAAGGCCTCTGAACTCTGAAGAGGTAACTGCTCTCCTTGTGTGAGTGAAAATGCTGGGAGCAACATCATCCACAATGCTCTGTCCAGGGTGCTGATCTTGCCTTGCCTGCTGTATGGGTAATTGCCCCTCCTTCCCTTGAATAACGCTGGACTCCAGTGTAACAAGAATTAGTCTTCTTGAATTCCTATACTGTATCTTTCTGATTATATGGCAGGAGACTGCTGGCAAGTGATGCATGAGACGAAACCTCTAAGAACAAAGTTTGTAATTTTCAAAGGAAGAAAAAGTCTTAAGGGGATTCCATAGCAAATCAAGAAATGTATATTCACTCGGGGTGGTCTATCTCTTTCCCTGCAACCGTAAAGCGAGAGGGACCCACTAGGTTTGCATTTATTTTGGATTTATTTGCTGATTCCGTTTCATCTTCTTCCATCCTCTCAAGGCCCACACTTCCAAAAAGTCCAAGGGCTGGCGGTGGGGTTGAATTGCAAGGAGCTAGTGGCCGGGGAGAGATAGGACTGAGGTGGCTAATCCAGGTCCCACATTTGCTGATCTTCAGAACTTGAGCAAAGCTGTGAAACTGGAGCTGATCTGCAAATCCTGGACCCCAGGCAGTTCTGCAATGTAACTGAGAGCGGGGAGAAATCAATTTGTGAGATATCAGCCAGTGGGAAAAATAGAACTGAAAGGGATACACTGCTGGGTACACCAATCATGCCCACCCGCCGCGGCTCCCCTTTCTTCCAAAAATTTGCAAGGAAAAAACTACAGGATCTTTCTGTGTGTGAATGAGTGTGTGTGTGAGAGAGAGACACACACAGAGAGAGATAGGTGCTCTCTCAATTACTGGAAGGAAGTTTTTGAAAGCAATTGCTTTCCCTTCCAGCTCCCTTGTGGAGAAGAAAGACTCATGTAGTGTTTCCT